TACTCCTATGGGCGAAAATCGAGATTTTGACCTTACTTCGAAAAAGGAGGTGATCATGGGCCACAAGGCCAAATGCACGCTAGCAAACGACTTCAAGACGAGTGCGGAGCGAAAATCAAGCGGAACACCCGACAATTCCCAGAATTCAGAAGCTCGATGCTATATGGAACATCTAACACCACGTCCCGGTCCTTAAAATCGCTCCTGCTATGGAGATGAGGCCCTATGAGTGGAGGAGCCGAGGACCCAACATTTCACGAAGAGAAAAAGTGGACTTCAACTCATGCGGGTGCTGTTTCCCATCACCAGCTTGGCTGCCTGCCACTATCTATTCTGTAGTGGAATTTCTTTTTATTGGAGAAGGATAACGAGGAAACTCATTTTCCAATCGCTGGCTGAAGTACCCGTGGGCTACTTACCAATTTACCTGGGTGATGGCCAATTTTCGAACTGGCTCAAAATCTCATTTTTTCTTAAACTTCTACTCTTAGGAATATGTAGTGTTCTGATCACAATATGATATCCATTTTTCCAGATGCCTCCAATTTACGCCTAATTTGCGTCAATATATTCGTTACCCTGTTTCCTTCAGTCTGTAACATCCACCTCGCGCTTTCCTCTTTGCGGGAATGGTGCACGACCATTTCCGCGAAGAGGAAAGCGAGGGGTGGATGTTACAAATCTTGGAAAGTTTCAGCGACGATACGTCGATCCCTGGCCATATTACCCTAATTTCCGGTAGATAAGCCCGCGCCATATCACGTAAAAACACCTCCGCTGGTGCAGTGCACTTGCGTACATCTAGAGACAACCGTAACTGCCCATAGGGGTAATTCGATATGCTGATTACGAAAACGACATTCATTTTTAGCGGTGGCGCCATCTGGCGCCAGTTGGCGTCACCTTGTCACGACCCTTGTTTTCACCAAAATCGGTGTAAACTTCTGTATAGGGGTTATTTGGTGCCCTGATTACGAATATGACATTCGTTTTGGCGCAAACGTTGTTTGCAGAAAATAAAGGATAAAAAGGATAAAGCATTTGCCGTTGATCAATCCCTTTTTGGGATGCGGCACGCATTCTACTTCCATTTGTACATTCGTAGTGGCGTTTGAATGCGATGTGGCCTATACAATGACTTGCGGGGGCCAGCCGATGTACAAGTCAGTGTTTTTATCCTCCCAGACAAGTCTGGTACCAATTAACCGACCCCGGAGGGATGGAAGGCTTGGTTGGCCCGGGCGACTCACGACCCAGGATTTGATCCCCGGACCGCTCGCGTGGTAAGCGTGCCACTTGCCACTACACCACTTCCGCCCTTAGTGCAGAAAATAGGCGCCAAATAGCGCCAGCGCCGACTGTGAATGTCTCGTAATCAGGACACCAAATAACCCCTATACGGAAGTTTACACCAAATTTGGTGAAAACAGGTGTCGTGACAAGGTGGCGCCAACTGGCGCCAGATGGCGCCACCGCTAAAAATGAAAGTCATTTTCGTAATCAGGGCATCGAATTACCTCTATAGGCAAATTTGCGGTAGTTTCTAAGGTGTACAAAGTTACACTGCACGAGCGGGGTGGTTTTACGTGAAATCGGCGCGGGCTTATCTACCGGAAATTAGGGTATGAAGCGACCCTGCACCTTACCTCGTGCACTCGCCACCTTCTAGTTTATCGTTTGCGAGGTCCGCCCTTAGGATTCTCCTGGCTGGTGTTCCCGAAGTAAGGGCTCACGCTTTTTCACTCTGAAAATTGAAGATTATGCTGTGGATGGCAGCAGGCAACTGAAATGACTAACCTATCAAATCGATCCACGTTGACTGTGTAGATATCCCAAGATATTTTGAAACCTCGAAATTATTCATGGGGATTGACTTATACCGTCAAATGAATAGGAGTGATACTTGACCTAATATGCATACAGGAAGGCCAATGAAAAAGACCTGTCTTGTCTTTGCTTCAAAATTGGGTTTACTCACACTCGTTGGACTCAAACCGGATGCTGCCAACCTTAGAATTGAAGAGCACATTTCATTCCATAAGAAAATCTTCATAGTGGCCATCTACGTGGACGGCATCAGAAAAATTTGCCCTGGAAACATGGTGCACTGGTCGAGCTCAATGGGGTCTTCGAAGGATCGTGTACCATACGAATTATTCTGGGAAGCAGGTTTGAGGGATTTGCATATTTAGGGAACATGAATGTCTCTAGAAAACATCCAACAGTGAATCGTTCCAAGAAATTATGCAGGAGCTTCAGGCTGGAGCAGTTACGGTAGGCCTCCCTGAGCTCGACGACGGTGACAGATGACGTCATATTCTGAAGACGGTGAGGGCAGTGAAGGAGGGCCTGCGTCTACTTATAGAGGGACATTTAGGGAATATTTTGCTGAGGAACTTCCGTCAACGACGGCAATCTCTGCGAAGAAAAAAGGCCGAAGTGCGACATGGGCAAAATGTCTTTTTTTGTCCCTCCCCCTCTCCACTCCCGTAAATGTATGTTTCATTTTGTGTCGAACCATCGCCACATGTTACGCGTGATTGTTGAGCAACACTTTTTTGCCAATCTTTCTCCACTTGTTGATAATAAGCAGCGGCGCATAGCAACTTCTTCAGTACACAACGTTAAATGCACAATCCAGGCAGAAGCCGCGCGACGAGTACCTTCAGTCTCTAGTATATATCCCTAGGAAACAATGACAACTGTGGCATTCTCGTGCAGAAGTGGTCCGACAGCTGCGCAAGGGCCTTGCAAAGATAGCTGAGGCAGCTCTATGTACTTCTCCTCGTCAGAATAATGTCTATCATCTGTTGCGCTGTCTCGCCTCATACACTCCTCTTGCACCCAAGGGAAGGTCTTTCGGGATGTGGAATTTTTTGGATGTCTTTTGCGTTTATAGGAGTACATACGTGAAGCATAGAAGTGACGATGGATTTTTTCAGAGCGGCGCTGGGATTGCTGGGAAAAGAAGCTTTTCTTGGGTGGTGAAGCCTCTACGTTTTCGATATACTCTACAGTATTTGTAGCACAGAATAGTCACATATTCGAAGGCCTTTGTTTATTGAGTGAGGTCGTATATATGTATATGAGCGCAGGAGACTGGAAATCCAAACAATTTGTCTTGAGTGGTAGAAACCACTGTTTCAACGTTTTCTGACATCCTCAGAAACCCAGGGCAACCCAGGTCAGAGAAAGCAATCTTCAATTTTGTGCTCTACACGCGTGTTACTACAACATGCAATAAATCGTTTTGAAAAATCGCACTATTTCGTGAAAGACTTCCGTGGTCAGGGTCTAAGTGCCTTGTTGTAAGGCTTAGGCAAGAACACGTTTGATATGGAGGTTGGTCACGGCCGACTTCAGCACTGCACTACCCTAAGCCTTCATAAAACTGTCAAACTAAGCCAAACGTCCGATGAGACCTGAAATTTATTATCACTGCTTCTTAATGCTTGTTTTTGAAGTCAGAATCGTTGAGCAGAGGACCTACTGTAACAGGAAATAAGTATCAAGGGTCATATAGATAAGAATCATAAAAACAACTGCACGGAAATAGTCCTTGAGGAACAATAAAGATAAGAAGCCAGATGACATCAGACTGAAAAATTGCACGTCAGTACCTCCAACCGGAGTGATAATGGGCATGGCGTGGGTGGCAATAAAACGATCACTTGCTAGAAAAAAAATTAAACAAACAAATAATTGCTCTGATATTTCTGCATTTTCTC